TCGTCTGTTAGCGTGTTCTTCTGTAATTACAGCCTAAAATCTGCCGTACTTCAGTGTATTTAGAAGTCATGCTAACCCTGTCACGCGTGCCCGGCAGGTGACGGCGTCTGAAGCAGCTTTAATGGCTCCCTTTGGTTCTGTGATGTTATTCCAGTGTCAGCGTGACCAAACAGCAAAAGAAAAAATACCTCTGTCATCAGAGAAGCACGGTGTCGTGAACTGTCAGAGTTCTCTCCAAACAAAGCTTTTCTGCAGCTTTTCTTTGTATCATATCCTTAACTTACATTATTACAATATTACAATGGAAAAGAAAGTGTCATGTCATTTTCTACCCCTTTATTAATCCCTTTCTGAGTCGGGAGGTGAATATCAGAGCTGCCCCAAGTCTCACAGCACCAGTCCCTCTGATCCTCTGCAGGGGGTGGGTCCACAGAGAGAGGGCTTCTCCGTCATCGACGCGATGGCCTTGATCTTTCAGCGGGGGCTTCAGGCAGTGTGGGGTTAAGTGTCTTGCCCAGGGACACAGCGACAGCAGACATCAGTGGGAGCAGATGGTCGTGGTGGACTCGAACCCACGACCATTAGGTCCAAAGACCAGTGCTCTGCTGAGCTACTGTCGCTAGTTTGAGATGGAGCATTTTGAATTTTACGTAAATTAATTTGTTGATTTTACGTTTATTTATTTGAAGTTTACTTTGAATGTTCTGGAAACGGCTGCAGGTCCAAAGTGTCTCTGAAACAGTTGTTTTGTGTTTTACAGTTGTTATTTTTCTTGCTTTTTTCTGCCTGAGATGTTGCTGCAGTTCAGTGTTCATGGTTTTACACTGGTCCAGACCAGAGCAGAGAGGATTCATGGTTTTACACTGGTCCAGACCAGAGCAGAGAGGATTCATGGTTTTACACTGGTCCAGACCAGAGCAGAGAGGATTCATGGTTTTACACTGGTCCAGACCAGAGCAGAGAGGATTCATGGTTTTACACTGGTCCAGACCAGAGCAGAGAGGATTCATGGTTTTACACTGGTCCAGACCAGAGCAGAGAGGATTCATGGTTTTACACTGGTCCAGACCAGAGCAGAGAGGATTCATGGTTTTACACTGGTCCAGACCAGAGCAGAGAGGATTCATGGTTTTACACTGGTCCAGACCAGAGCACAGAGGATTCATGGTCCAAACCAAGTGGATCAGGTAAAAATCCACTGGAGGAATGCTAACTTTATGAAAAATGCTAAGAAATGCTAATAAAGTATTTAGCATTTTACTTTGGACCAGAGCAGAGACAATGGTCTGAACCAAGCGGTTGCTCCATCTACACAGAAGGGGTTGGGTTCGAAGTGGTGTCTGAGGTAACTAACAATCCCCTACATGTTTACTATATTTACAGTTTTTCTCAGTGTCTTTGGTGCATTTTTCACATCATTCTTCACATTTGCACAACAGGTGCATTTCTCAGAACAATTAGTGCAAACTGCAAAACCTTGTGGATAACCTGCAAAAGTGCGTCACTTTCTCAAAATGATTTATTCATGTTTTCATTGTCACACTTTACTCTCTGTGTTTTCAATGCAAAAAAGTCAGATCTTGGTGACACTTGACCTGTACAGCCATTTACAGTAAATACTACAGTAAAGTTACACATGACTGTATTTAGAGACGTAACTGACATATATGCATGTATGTACAGTAGGTACAGTATGTATGTGTGTACAGTATGTACTGTATGTACTGTATGTACAGTAAGTACTGTATGTATGTGTGTACAGTATGTACTGTATGTACTGTATGTACTGTATGTATGTGTGTACAGTATGTACTGTATGTACTGTATGTACTGTATGTACTGTATGTACAGTAAGTACTGTATGTATGTGTGTACAGTATGTACTGTATGTACAGTAAGTACTGTATGTATGTGTGTACAGTATGTACTGTATGTACTGTATGTACAGTAAGTACTGTATGTATGTGTGTACAGTATGTACTGTATGTACTGTATGTACAGTAAGTACTGTATGTATGTGTGTACAGTATGTATGTATGTACTGTATGTACAGTATGTACTATATGTATGTGTGTACAGTATGTACTGTATGTATGTGTGTACTGTATGTATGTATGTACAGTATGTACAGTATGTACTGTATGTATGTGTGTACAGTATGTATGTATGTACTGTATGTACAGTATGTGCTATATGTATGTGTGTACAGTATGTATGTGTGTACAGTATGTACTGTATGTACAGTAAGTACTGTATGTATGTGTGTACAGTATGTATGTGTGTACAGTATGTACTGTATGTACAGTAAGTACTGTATGTATGTGTACTGTATGTACTGTATGTATGTATGTACTGTATGTACAGTAAGTACTATATGTATGTGTGTACTGTATGTACAGTATGTACAGTATGTGCAGTATGTACTGTATGTACAGTATGTACTGTATGTACAGTATGTACAGTATGTACAGTATGTGCAGTATGTACAGTATGTGCAGTATGTACTGTATGTACAGTATGTACAGTATGTACAGTATATACAGTATGTGCAGTATGTACAGTATGTGCAGTATGTACTGTATGTACAGTATGTACTGTATGTACTGTATGTACAGTATGTGCAGTATGTACAGTATGTGCAGTATGTACTGTATGTACAGTACAGTGTGCAGTATGTACAGTATGTGCAGTATGTACTGTATGTACAGTATGTACAGTATGTGCAGTATGTACTGTATGTACAGTATGTGCAGTATGTACAGTATGTGCAGTATGTACTGTATGTACAGTATGTACAGTATGTACAGTATGTACTGTATGTACTGTATGTACTGTATGTACTGTATGTCTTTCACATATTTACTGCTCTTTGCTATTCTACAGCATTGTGCAACAAAACAAAAACAAAACCGTGACAAATGTAAACAATAAAACACACCTCCTCCTGACTGAAGATGAAACTCACCTGAGAGACACTTTTCAATTTAGGAAAGATTTACAGAAAAAAAATATTAAAGGAATGTATGAAATTAGCTCGACAGTTATGATTTTGAACCAGTTCAACAGTTTTGTTTGTGACCAACGCGATGAAATGAGGACAGTTAGTTTTATAGAGAAAGACTGTTCAGAAGTGATAAGTCTGAATGTATGAAAGTAACTGATACATGATGCAACAAGACGTTCCAGGCTGAGAGTAGTTTTGCATGTTCTGTCTGTGTCTGTGTAGGTTTCCTCCAGGTGCCCCAGATTCCCCAGATTCCCCTACCACTAAAACATGTACAATAGGTCCTGAGCTAGCCTGGCCTTATCCATCTGTACACTCCGCTCAATCATCATTTCACTGCATGTAACGTCTGGTCCCTGTGTTAGCGAATACAATCGGTCGTATTTCGACCGGCTACTCAGAGAGCACGTTGTAGGTCGGTGCCGGTGACGACAAGAGTTTGCGCCGAACGGGCAGGTTATAGTTTGGTAATGGTGAAGAATGCGATAGTAAAGGAATCCAGTCTGGTTCTATCAAGAAATTGAAGCAGGAGCATGAGGAATGTTTAGCAAATGTAATCGCTGGTCAAGATTGTGGCACTACTCCCCACGGGCTCCGTTAGCAGCAAAGGAGATGGCTAAAGCTAGGCTAAATGATAAATGCTAACGTCAGACTCGGGCGCATTAAATACGTCTCGGTAAACTCAGATCCAATCGTTTCAATCTGCAAAAGGAGTTAGCCCCTCCCACCTGTTAACGGAGCTCAATGGAGCAAATCCAGACCTTAGTATGAAATGTAATTTGTACTATGGTGTGGTACGACCAGGCTAGGTCCTGACCAAGCTGAGTGTGAAACTGTGGTCAAATGCAGGGGACTAGTTTCTCTATGGGGACAATAAAGCTTCACTTACTTGATCTTGGCGGGCTTTGGAAAATACGACCCAGCCCCAAAGGCCATATACACATAAGCTCACCTACACAAACAGGAGAAATTCCTTTTGATACATTTCATCTTGTTGATTCTTGATAAAAATAACTTCTTCCCGTAGACCTCAGACACTCCACAGAACAGTACTGTACTTGCTTTTACGATTATAAGCATCTTTATCTTCAGCCCTGGTAATAGCAGTGGAAGCAGAACATATGTGTCCTGCAGAGTTCCCATGATGCTCCTCTCCCGGCGGCGTATCCACAGAAACATATCAGTGTCAGTGTGGTTCAAAAGCCGTAACCGTTCTTATCGCCCTGTGCCCATTTCTGTCTTATCAAATGTAATTATCTTTATTCTCCAGGTCTCTCGCCGAAGGCTGTGTTTTTGTCCTCTCTCCACTAGAACCTGTTATCGCATTCTCACTGGTGCCAGATTTATGGTATTTGTGGAGGGCAGTCCTGCAGCGTTCAGAACAACACGGTGACCACTGGATTAGAAGCAGAGCGGTCCTGAGGTTAGACACTGAATACAAACACATACGTACATACACACACTTACATATGCTTAAATATGATATATAAATAATGATTACTTACAGACACATACATTCATGTACACACACACACACTCACACTCACACACACACTCACACACACGCACACATAAACATGTGGTCCACATTTTCCTGTCTGTCAAATCCTAAAATATGATCTGCTTTTTCCAAATGTGGGAACTTTAGAAATAGCACCAAACTGTTTCCAGGGTCAGGAACTGGAGAGATGCATGGATTATATGACATTCTGTGGATTTGAAAGTTCAGTACCCTAGCTTTAAAGTGCTGACAAACCGCATGGACCTAGTATTGCCTTGTTACACTATTATTAGAGAAGTTCCCAGTCAAAACATCATAATAATAGTTTTTGATTTTACTATGACCAAAATAATGATCTACGCATGTGGCATCCGGCGCATTACCAACTCTTCTGTAAACAGTCTTAATGCATAAGATTAAAGCAGAGGGTCGTAGCTTCTCACTGGTTCCCTCTGGTTCTGAAGGCTTCCCACTGGTTCCCTCTGGTTCTGAAGGCTACTTACTGGTTCCCTCTGGTTCTGAAGGCTTCTCACTGGTTCCCTCTGGTTCTGAAGGCTTCTCACTGGTTCCCTCTGGTTCTGAAGGCTTCTCACTGGTTCCCTCTGGTTCTGAAGGCTTCTCACTGGTTCCCTCTGGTTCTGAAGGCTTCTCACTGGTTCCCTCTGGTTCTGAAGGCTTCTCACTGGTTCCCTCTGGTTCTGAAGGCTTCTCACTGGTTCCCTCTGGTTCTGAAGGCTTCTCACTGGTTCCCTCTGGTTCTGAAGGCTTCTCACTGGTTCCCTCTGGTTCTGAAGGCTTCTCACTGGTTCCCTCTGGTTCTGAAGGCTTCTCACTGGTTCCCTCTGGTTCTGAAGGCTTCTCACTGGTTCCCTCTGGTTCTGAAGGCCTTCTGAAGGCTTCTCACTGGTTCCCTCTGGTTCTGAAGGCTTCTCACTGGTTCCCTCTGGTTCTGAAGGCTTCTCACTGGTTCCCTCTGGTTCTGAAGGCTTCTCACTGGTTCCCTCTGGTTCTGAAGGCTTCTCACTGGTTCCCTCTGGTTCTGAAGGCTTCTGACTGGTTCCCTCTGGTTCTGAAGGCTTCTCACTGGTTCCCTCTGGTTCTGAAGGCTTCTCACTGGTTCCCTCTGGTTCTGAAGGCTTCTGACTGGTTCCCTCTGGTTCTGAAGGCTTCTCACTGGTTCCCTCTGGTTCTGAAGGCTTCTGACTGGTTCCCTCTGGTTCTGAAGGCTTCTCACTGGTTCCCTCCGGTTCTGAAGGCTTCTCCTCCGTGTCATGTGTGAGAGAAAAGTGTCAATAATAGAACAAGACTCTGCCTGACGTCTCCAAATCTGGAATTGTTTGTCTTCTTCTGCTGTATCAAGGAAAGCAGCGTATCACTGGAGAATGTGAAATACTGTATAAGCATAATCGCTATGAACCAGTTTAGGTTAAAAAAGTGGAAAAAAGTAGGTTCGGATACACAACAAAACACTATAGCCATTGGATTCTTTATTTTATTTTATTTATTTTTTTAAACTGAACTGAATGTTATTGATGTTTCTGTGCACTGGATTAAAAATAAGACAAAGAATGCTCAGATTCTGTAGCCGGGTCATAGCCATCAATAAACTCTGGTTGATCATAATTTCCTACATGTACGTCTGGTCTTACCATGTGTAAACTCTGGTCCATGATCATTTCCTACATGTACGTCTGGTCTTACCATGTGTAAACTCTGGTCCATGATCATCTCCTACATGTACGTCTGGTCTTACCATGTGTAAACTCTGGTCCATGATCATTTCCTACATGTACGTCTGGTCTTACCATGTGTAAACTCTGGTCCATGATCATCTCCTACATGTACGTCTGGTCTTACCATGTGTAAACTCAGGTCCATGGTCATTTCCTACATGTACGTCTGGTCTTACCATGTGTAAACTCTGGTCCATGATCATCTCCTACATGTACGTCTGGTCTTACCATGTGTAAACTCTGGTCCATGATCATCTCCTACATGTACGTCTGGTCTTACCATGTGTAAACTCTGGTCCATGATCATCTCCTACATGTACGCCTGGTCTTACCATGTGTAAACTCTGGTCCATGATCATTTCCTACATGTACGCCTGGTCTTACCATGTGTAAACTCTGGTCCATGATCATTTCCTACATGTACGTCTGGTCTTACCATGTGTAAACTCTGGTCCATGATCATCTCCTACATGTACGTCTGGTCTTACCATGTGTAAACTCAGGTCCATGGTCATTTCCTACATGTACGTCTGGTCTTACCATGTGTAAACTCTGGTCCATGATCATCTCCTACATGTACGTCTGGTCTTACCATGTGTAAACTCTGGTCCATGATCATCTCCTACATGTACGCCTGGTCTTACCATGTGTAAACTCTGGTCCATGATCATTTCCTACATGTACGCCTGGTCTTACCATGTGTAAACTCTGGTCCATGATCATCTCCTACATGTACGTCTGGTCTTACCATGTGTAAACTCTGGTCCATGATCATGTCCTACATGTACGTCTGGTCTTACCATGTGTAAACTCTGGTCCATGATCATCTCCTACATGTACGCCTGGTCTTACCATGTGTAAACTCTGGTCCATGATCATTTCCTACATGTACGTCTGGTCTTACCATGTGTAAACTCTGGTCCATGATCATTTCCTACATGTACGTCTGGGTCTGAATTAAGATAAAAATAATTGATTATGTTTTGCAGTGTACTGTATGTAGCAAACAGAACATATTAAGTCTTTTGACCCGACTAAATTCAACATCGCGTGCAGCTGTCTATAAAAATAAAACATTTGTCTCTTTTCCGTGTATTTCCCCCACATGGCCGCACCAACATCGTCATATATCTTTCCCTCGCAGCTGACAAGAATCTGTCCAGGAAGCGGCGCGTTGCTATTGTCAAAGAGTGTGCAGTTTATGGCTCAATAATGCTCTCATCACTCAGACTGTCACTGCGTCACGTGTATGCATTAGACTCCCTCACCCCCACTCACCCCTGCAGCCCCCCGCCCACCCCCCACTCCCCAACATCCCCCACTCCATCTCCCTCACCCTGTCAGCTCAGAAACATCCGACATCTACAGTGTGTGCGCTGATACACGGATGAATGATTCTATAATTCTATTTTACCCTGTATTTCACTTGCTCTAGAAAATACAGAATGTTAGACTTGCTTTTTTATTTTTATAATTGTAGATTTTATACTTGCTTCTTTTGTAATGCTAAAGCTAGAGATTTCATTCCTGCTTCTTATGCTAAAGTTAGAGACTTTATACTAGCTTCATAATTATGCTTCATAATTCATGCTAAAGTTAGAGGAGACTTGTTATTTAAGCACAGGGTTGTTGTTCTTTATCCTTGTGTTGTGTGCTCCTCACTCCTACTGTTCTGTAAAAGGTGATTGTTGGGTGAAATAATGTTTTGTTCCAACATAAAATCTAAAGTGTTGAGCAGAAGTCGCAGGTTCCCTCTTTCCTCTGGAGTTTATAAAGCAGTAAATAAGGTTTGTGTAGATCCTCCGTCTTCTCTTCAAAAGGTCAGAACGCACAAAACCACATTTTCAGGTATACATCTCCATATGGAAAGGGCAGCGCTTCAGCAAGTGTGTGTGTGTGTGTGTGTGTGCACATGTCTATATGTGTGTGTGTGTGTGCGCATGTCTATGTGTGTGTGAGTGTGTGTGTGTGCATGTCTATATGTGTGTGGGTGTGTGTGCTTGTCTATATGTGTGTGGGTGTGTGTGCTTGTCTATATGTGTGTGAGTGTGTGTGTGTGCATGGCTATATGTGTGTGAGTGTGTGTGTGTGCATGTCTATATGTGTGTGAGTGTGTGTGTGTGTGCATGTCTATATGTGTGTGAGTGTGTGTGTGTGCATGTCTATATGTGTGTGAGTGTGTGTGTGTGTGCATGTCTATATGTGTGTGAGTGTGTGTGTGTGTGTGCATGTCTATATGTGTGTGAGTGTGTGTGTGTGCATGGCTATATGTGTGTGAGTGTGTGTGTGTGCATGTCTATATGTGTGTGAGTGTGTGTGTGTGTGCATGTCTATATGTGTGTGAGTGTGTGTGTGTGCATGTCTATATGTGTGTGAGTGTGTGTGTGTGTGCATGTCTATATGTGTGTGAGTGTGTGTGTGTGTGTGTGCATGTCTATATGTGTGTGAGTGTGTGTGTGTGCATGTCTATATGTGTGTGAGTGTGTGTGTGTGTGCATGTCTATATGTGTGTGTGTGTGTGTGTGTGTGTGCATGTCTATATGTGTGTGAGTGTGTGTGTGTGTGTGCATGTCTATATGTGTGTGAGTGTGTGTGTGTGCATGTCTATATGTGTGTGAGTGTGTGTGTGCATGTCTATATGTGTGTGAGTGTGTGTGCATGTCTATATGTGTGTGTGTGTGTGTGTGTGTGTGTGTGCATGTCTATATGTGTGTGAGTGTGTGTGTGAATGTGAGCATGACTATAAGTGTGTTCGGTGCATGTCTATGTGTGTGTGTGTATCTATATGAGTATATGTGTGTGTGTGTGTCTCTATATGAGTATGTGTGTGTATGTAGTGTGTGTGTATCTATATGAGTATGTGTGTGTGTGTATCTATATGAGTATGTATCTATATAAGTACTGTATATGTGTGTGCATGTTTGCAAGTATATGTGTGTGTAAAGGTATGTGTGTGTGTAAGGGTATGTGTGAGTGCCTGTGTGCGTCTGTGTGCGTCTGTGTGTGTGGTGTGTGTCAGTGCAGGTGTCCCAGAGCTCATTCCCCCTGTGCCCTGCTCTCACACACTGCAGACGGAGGATTTCCTTACGCCCTTTATCAGCAGCTCGTGCACATACGGCTGCTTCTGGATCAAGACTCAGCCATAAACAATACACTTGAGATACTTCCTCACTATTTTCTTGACGTGTTTTTTTGTTCACAGCAAACATTTAGATATTTAGTACGTCATGGTTATGTATACAGTGCTTTTCAAAGACATCAGACTCGTGCAGACTAATGTGCAGGAAGTATCTCACTTTGGCAGCAGCGATCACAGCGGTCTCCCATCACGGATCCCTTTGTTGTCAAGTGAGGTTTGGTATGGCAGTCGTTCAAACCTTGTTGTGAGTCCAAAATCACCCGTTTCATTTGGGTTGTCGTTGGCGTTTTCAAAGAGTAAACACTACTTTCTACACTATCAGAACATGGCACTCAAATAGAAAAACGAGCCCTGAATTAGACAGAAGAGAGAGACGTATTTTCTGTTGTTAGCGTGGATGGAGCTACAGAACCCTCTCTCTGTCTGATATCTGTAGTCTGTTCATTGCTATTCACCCACTGTCCCATTGTCTGTCATTGCGAGTCCAGGATCTACAGCCTCAAAATCCTATTCGCATAAATCCCTTCCACTATAAAGTTTGTTTTAAGTTAAGTCGGAGTACCTCAGACCTTTTAATCTTTGTTTTCTACAATGTTGTAACGGGGCTGAAAGCTCATGAAAGAAAACGTGGTATATTCTACTATTTTTGTACTATTTTTAATGTTTATGACTTTAATTGTTGCATATTATCTATTATTGACCTACTACCACTGTAATTGTACTTGTTTGAGCGACTGTGTCCAAGATGTTCCCCTTGTGGATCAGTAACTTCTCTAAGTCTAAAGCAGTGTAATGAAATGGTCAGCACTAGATCATATTCGGAATCGGGACAGAAGCAAAAGTAACTTTAACCAACTACCTAGCATGGTGGCTGAGTGGTTAGCATTGGTTGGCACTCTCGCATTCCAGCAAGAAGGTCCTGGGTTCAAATCCCTGTCAGAACGGGGTCTTTCTGAGTGGAGTTTGCACGTTCTTCCCGTGTTTGCAAAGGTTTCCTCCGTGTACTCCGGTTTCCTCTACCACTAAAAACATGCTCACTAGGTAAAATCCTCCAGCTCTGTTCCTGACCAAGCCAAGCATCAATATCTGGAGATGGTTACCGGGCGCTGTTACTACGGCGACCACTGCTCCTGACGTAAGCCTTAGGGGCATCAGGATGGGTCAAATGCAGAGGATGGACTGCCCTACGGGGATTAATAAAGAGCACCTTTACCTTTACCTATTGATATCTAAAATTAACCAGCCATTCCCATAGAATAACCCCAACCCACCTTAACCCTAACCTTAACCATCTTACTCAGACCACCTTAACCCTAACCTTAACCATCTTACTCAGACCCACCTTAACCCTAACCTTAACCATCTTACTCAGCCACCTTAACCCTAACCTTAACCATCTTACTCAGACCCACCTTAACCCTAACCTTAACCATCTTACTCAGACCACCTTAACCCTAACCTTAACCATCTTACTCAGACCCACCTTAACCCTAACCTTAACCATCTTACTCAGACCACCTTAACCCTAACCTTAACCATCTTACTCAGACCACCTTAACCCTAACCTTAACCATCTTACTCAGACCACCTTAACCCTAACCTTAACCATCTTACTCAGACCACCTTAACCCTAACCTTAACCATCTTACTCAGACCACCTTAACCCTAACCTTAACCATCTTACTCAGACCACCTTAACCCTAACCTTAACCATCTTACTCAGACCACCTTAACCCTAACCTTAACCATCTTACTCAGACCACCTTAACCCTAACCTAACCATCTTACTCAGACCACCTTAACCCTAACCTTAACCATCTTACTCAGACCACCTTAACCCTAACCTTAACCATCTTACTCAGACCACCTTAACCCTAACCTTAACCATCTTACTCAGACCACCTTAACCCTAACCTTAACCATCTTACTCAGACCACCTTAACCCTAACCTTAACCATCTTACTCAGACCACCTTAACCCTAACCTAACCATCTTACTCAGACCACCTTAAACTTAACCAGTCACCATTTAAGAACTTGTAAATCTAAAACTAATTCGACAGTAGATTGTTACTTCCGCTTCCGTCCCGATCCGTGTACAGTATGATCTAGTGCCGACCGTAATGAAATGCTGTTGTACCACTTCACCTCACGCCTCCTGCTTTGTTTTCGGTGCAGCTGGTCTTTTTCCTCGAGAACATCTGCTGCGGTATCACTCATAAATAATGTGTGACAAAGTGTGACCCTCTGTGTTTGACCTTTGTGGGGCAATGATAAAAAATGAATAAAATGGACAAAAACAAACAAAGTGAAGGACGTGCTCTGGTTCGGGCGCGAGAGTGGAATCCCGCACACCAGGACCAATCGATGGCCGCGGATTTAACAGGACAAACGTAATTGGACTCTGGCTGCGGACTCGCTGCAGTCTGGAAGTTTTGTAAATTCCACATCTGCTGGTTGGAATAGCCTGTGTCCGTCCAGATGAGACTCATTGATTTTTCTCCCCCACACACTGCTCTGTCTTTATTTATTCACCCAGAGAACATGAATGCTTCAGAGACTGCTGCAGTGGAGAGCAGAGTCTGATGGAATTATCACTGAGAAGAAGATTATGGTCGGATTGGTGTGGTTTCAAGTGGCCAGCATAACTTTGTCACCACCGTGGTCCCTCGTTTATCGCTGGAGTAAAGGTCTGTATATATTAAAGGCTGTAAAAAACCCTTCACCACACACTTTAGAAACTTTTTTAACCACCTGAACTCACGACTGTTGAAGTAAGATTGCGGAGATATCAATTTAATTCAATGTATTCTTGCATAGCCCTAAATCACAACAGTAGTTATCTCAAAAACTGTCCTTCTGCCAACACTGATCAGAGAAAATGAGAGACCCTCAGGAAGACCCACATTGGTTCCACGGACGAACAGGCAATATCAAACCTGCTGCTGGTAGTTCTGAGTGCTGCTGCAGCTGTCAAAAGCTGTGCATACACTGTAAAATACAGCTGTAGAGGAAAACACACTGGGGGCAGGAGCAGAACTGAGGGCCACAGGAAGATCAGAGAGAGACCAGAAGGAGAGATCAGAAAGAGAGGCTACAGAGAGAGACCAGAGAGAGAAACTAAAGAGAGACCAGAGAGAGACTAGAGAGACGCCAAAGACAGAGACCAGAAAGACAGGGGCCGGAAAG